AGAAAGTAATGATTTTGAAATACTAAATGTAAGTATTACAGCAATTTTTAAATGAATAAAGATGGTTAATTTTTCTTAGAAAGAGGTTGACACAGCACATTCACAGAGTGAATAGTCATAATTATGTAGCTGTCTTGAATTTAATATTTTGTGAGTTTAGTCAAACATATATCACTTGGTGGCACTATACAGACAGTCACCAACCTACAAAGGGATTGTATTGAATTATTTGAACCTGGAATGCATTTTCTCATAGAAATATTGTTGTGAATTGTTACTAGGTTCTTAGGCTTTAGTTCACAAAAGCCTTTTATAAACATTGTGTAGCTGAATTATAATACTCAGCATTCTAGATCACAATTTATATTTTTTTCTGTAGGAAAATGCGTTCCTGAGTTTTTACTCTGGATTCCAGAAACTTATTTCCCCCCCTGGCCGTGAGAGGGGGCGGTAAGGTGGAACCTTGGCAATGGATAGGAGGTTTGGGGGAAAATTCAAGAGGGTTGGGGGTTATGTTGTGAACTATTTAGAGGTAAAAGCACTAGAAACTTTGTGTAAAGGAAAGCACGTATGATTTCTGTGTAAGTTGGTGACTGCTTGTATGACATTAATTTGGTCTTCTTAAAGAATCTGAAAGTGATCTTTAGAGAAAATTTAAGTATAAAAAAATTGAACTTAAGCAATACCTGATAAGATTAAAGCAGTTTACATTTGTTAAGTGGATTTATTCTAGTGACTCTTGGTGATATTATGGTGCCACTTAGCATAGATGTGTCTTTAATATGCGACCTATGAATAGTCTCTCTCTGATTTATATTTTGATCTCAGTGGGAATATCTTACATATTTATGTGTAAGGTGATTTTGCAAAATAGGAGGAGGTAAACCAGGTATATTAAAAAAACTAAAATTTTAAAATAGTTTGTTGGGTGTACATATTTTGGGAGGTTGATTTTAGTTTAACATGGCACAGAAACCTAGGTAAGGATTTGGTGAGAAATAAGTTATACAAGACAATTGGCAGTGTTGTTAATAACTTGCCTGCTGTCATTGCCTGCTTAACTGTGCTTTGAAACCTTCCTCAGTACTAGTGCAAGTGAATCAGTTATCTTTTTTTTTTTTTAAGAAACATTTCAAAATATCTTGGGCCACCATGAACCCATCACCCAGTTTCAAAAATTAACGACACTAGCCAGTCTGCTACTGTTTTATCTGTTTGCCCTCATCCCTCCCCAGGTTATAGTGAAGCAAATTTGAGACATACTGTTTATTTCATCCATAAATATATCCCTGTTCAACTTTGACAATAACAATTCCTTTAAAAAATACAACCATAATCTGTTATCACACCTAAAAAGGTGAATAGTAATTCCTTAAAATCATCAACTGTTCAGTTAGTATTTACCTTTCACTGATTGTCTCATAAACTTTTTTTTTTTCATTTTTGCTTTTTAAAAAACAAGGTCTCAACAAAGTCCACACTGTACTTGGTAGATATGCCTTTTTTGTCTTTTGCAGTTTAGTTTTTGGAGAAGCTAGGCTACTTGTCCTAAAGAGATTTCACATTCCAGATTTTGCCTCTTGCAAAAATTCATTTCATTGGGTCTCTTTACCTAACAAATGGTATCATTTAACATGTTCCTTGTCCATCGTATTTCTTGTACATTGGTAGTTGAATCTAGAAGCTTGAAGAAATTCAGATTAGAATCTTTTGGCACTTCCGCTACGACAATGTGTACTTTCATTAGGTGTTATAGAGTTGTTGGGAAGGTAAATGAAATGATGTTTGTGAAAACACTTCTTAAATTCTAAAGGATTGTACATGTAAGACTTTTTCATTATTAAGGATTTTGAGGTGATACATTTTATTGTTTAAGTAGAAGTAAATAACCTTTAAAAAAGAAAGTTAAAGTGTGGGAATATGCCCATACTGTATTACCGGAGAGATTATGCATTTACACATTCTAAAAAGAAAGAGGCAAGTAAAACAAAACAAATATTTTTTCCCTTAGAAAGAGTGTTCCCCATTTCCCAAAGGTACCTTATGAGGATATGTGAAATATAGTAGGAGGGCATTACAAAAAGAAATGAAAGAAGTGAGCAATGTAAGAGTACAACATGGGACGAGAAGTGAGTTTTCTACCACAGAAAACTTGGCTTTAAAATTTATGGCTTTAGGTAGGTGGAAATTTGACCTAAAAAAATAGTCTATAGCTTATGCAAAAAAGAGATGCTTAGTCATTTATGTAATTCATGGCACCCATAGGCGATAGATATTTTTAAATATTTTAAAAAATTGATTTAAATTAAATATTTATTAAAAGGTTTATTTACATCAGTACCAAAAAATACCTAGGATAAATCAACAAAAGATGCCTCCGCCTGTACATTGAAAATTACAAAAATTGAGAGAAATTAATCAAGACCTAAGAAATGGAGAAATAAACCATGTTCATGGATTGGAAGATTCAATATTGTTAAGATGAGGAATTCCCCCCAGGTTAATCTATATATTCAATACATTCCTAATTAAATTCCATCAGCTACCTTTTAGAAATTTAAAGGACATGAGTAACCAAAGTAATTATAAAACAGAGAGGAAAATTGGAGAACTTATCCTACCTGATTTCAAGATAAAGCTGTAGTTATATCAAGATAGTTTGATATTGGTGAAAACATAAATGTAGATCAAGGAACCAAAATAGAGAGTCCAGAAATAGATCACACACAGGTTGTTTTCAGTTAAGTTACTACTATGTTGAGTTAATTGAGTAAAATCTTTCCATTTTCAGCAAGTGCAATTTAACCAATTGAATATCCGTTTGGAAAGAAATGGATCTCAACTCTTTCCTCAAACCTTACACAAAGTCAACACAAAATAGATCACAGGCGTAAATGTAAAACCAAGCCTACAAAACTTCTAGAAGAAGAAAATAGAAAATCTATGCACACTTGCTTGAGTGGAGAAAGACTTCTAGATTCATCACAAAAAGCCTGAAACACTTAAGGAAAAATTGGTCATTTGGATTTAATAAAAATGAGAAACCTTTCTTTTGAAGTGACTCTGTTAAGAGAATGAAAAGGCAGGAAAAAATATTCACAACTCATACATCAGACAAAGGATTTATATCCAGAATATATAAAGAACTCAGATGAAAAACAAATTAAAGGTGTGAACAGATATTTCACAAAAGAATTCCAGTGGTCAGTAAGTCATGTAAATGTATGATACATCATGAATCATCACAAATGCAAGTTAAGACCACAATGAGATAACACTACATACCCATTATAGATTGATTAAAATTTAAAAGACAGTGCCATCTGTTGGGGAGGATGTGGAGCAACTGGAACTCTCATATTTTGCCAATGGGAATTAAATTCGTACATCTACTTTGGAAAACAGTTTGACAGTTTCTTAAAAGTTGAGGAAACACCTATCATAAGACCCTGCCATTCTACTCTTAGATGTTTACCAAGAGAATCAAAAACAAGTGTTCATACAAAGACTTGTACATAAATGGTCATAGCAACCTTATTTGTGATGGCCCCAAACTGGAAAGAACCCTCAACATGTGAAGGAATAAACACGTTGTTATCTAGCAATGTAAGGAATGTATATCGCTACATCAACATGGATGAATCTCAAACTTGTGCTGTGAGAAGGAAGCTAGACAAAAAAAGAATATACAGTACGATTTCACTTATATAAAAATGCTAGAAGATATAGTTCAGTGGTTGCCTAAGGTGGGGTATGTGGAAGGAAAGGATAGAATGTAAAAGGTCCCAGGAGGCTTGAGGGTGACAATGTTTATGGTAGTGTTTGTCTTGTGGGTAAATGTTTGTATCAAACTGATCAAAGGTGCACTTTAAATGTGCACTCTTTATTATGCTTCAGTTATAATGCAGTAAAGTTGTAAAAGAAAAATCTCACCTTCAGTATCATCTTGCTGCTTGTAGCTATAGTTCATTAGGTTGTTTCTCAAATACATTCTCGGCAGAAATTAATAATGCTAACTCCTCTATTATCCTTTTGCTTGGTTTAGGATAATTTATTCTTATTTGCTTATTTTTCATTTGAAAATTGTTAGAGCCTCTGTCTTTAGTGGGCGTAAGAATTATCTGAGCACTTATTAAAATTTTTCTGCCCTGCAATTTGGGATAACTTCTAAAGAGCTAGGCCATACATACCCTTATTTGCCTGTGACATTTCTGGTTTGCATCTCTTGGTGTAACTAGTAATAGTGGCTCCTTTCATTCTCAGAATTGTCCACTTTGGACAACAAATTATATGATCACTTTACATTTAGAGCACTAGAAGATTTCACAAACCATGTTTTTTTCAGACCTGCAGTCTTACATTATGTTTCTTAACCAAGCTTTCAGTATAAATAATGTGCAGCAGCAAGTTCAAAATAGTATTCCTTGACCTAGAGTGCTCCTACTCTACTTGGTCATTTAAGACAGTGAAGCCTGGTGGCTTGGTGAGCATCCTGTGAAAACTGAGGACCTTAACAAAAGCATTTGTTGTATCAAAAAGTATTTGTAGGTTATTTCAGACAGCATGTTACCCATTGCACATCATTGGAACTTTGTGATAACTGATTTATAATAAAGAGATGAATTGAGGGATGTTTAGTATCATCAGACACCTTCTGAATTATTGTTAAAGTTCTCATCAACATATTTTGCTTTGAATCTTGTATTCTGATTATTTGAAAGTGAATATATTAGGCTAATTGGGACTCCTAAATTAGGACAGTCTATCCCTCAGTCCCCCAGTGATCATGTATAAAAAATTTTATTTCTTTTGCATAATAAATTATGTAACTATGTCAGTGATAGTTTTTAAATAGTACTTGATGGTTTTAGAAGGGCTTGGTATGAAGATATTTTTACAAGCAAATAAAATCCATAAAGAATTCTGAAAGGATATGTTAGGACCATTACAAGTAGGTTACAAGTGAACTTTCTGTTTGGCCCTTCAGTACCTCTGCTGTTTGTATCCTGAATGTGACCTTTAGAGCAACAATAGCCACTGGAACATAACATGAATCAACTATTATGGAAGTTCCTCTAGTAGTAAACCCCTTTGAAAGATAAATATTTAAAAGTATTAAAGAGAAAGGGGAATCTGGATTTTGAAACCTGAAAAGACTATCCTTTCCCAACCTTTTCCTATAGATGAAGCATGTGGGTGGAGTTGAAAGACCTGCCAGAATTTGGAATATTTTGCTCTGGCTCCCTTTCTATATCCTGGGCTGGAGGCTGGGTTTCACCCTTACAGTGTTTTGACTCATGCATTCATTATACGATCTTTTGATTGGCTTAGAATTTTATTCTTAAAAAATGACACTTAATTTTAAAAGGTTTATTGCCTTCTTTTTGAAGAATGTACTTACCTGGTAGCCATAAGACATCATGTAACATTCTTCATTTAGTCCCTCAGAACTTTATTTGCTAAAATTTAGTTGGTACTTTATTGCCTGGTTTTTAAGGTAATTTTTAATGACAATTTTCCCTATAGTGTTCTTAGTTCCTGAGTATGCTTATTTACATTTCTTTTATTTTCTCACAGAAAGTACTTCAGACTAAGAATTTAAACCTAATAAAGAGAACTGTATTAAGGATGCCCCTGCATGCTGTTATTCCATTATTGCAAGAGGTAACTGAGTATGCTTTTTTTTCAAGGTCCTAATGCTATGAATCAAAGAGACAATCCAGTGTTAAGAGAAAGGGATTTGCAGTATGTAAGCAAGCAGGGTAGTTAGAGTGGATGATAGGTGATTGATAGATCTACTTAAACAAAATTTGCCTAACCTAGATTTTTTTTCCTATGTATTTTAAAAATTGAGATATAATTTACATACCATGAAATTTACCCTTTGTGTACCCTTTAAAACTGTACACTTTAAAAATGTACAGTTCAGTGCTTTATAGTATATTACAGATTGTGCAACTGCCACACCAAGAAGAAACTGAGTACGCATTAGTCACTCCCCATTTTTCCTTACCCCCAGTTTCTTGCAATCACTAGTCTATTTTCTGTCTTTGTGTCTATTCTGGACATTCATTCATACAAATCCTAGCCTAGGTTTTTATCAGGCAATTACTTTTATTGTGGGAATGTACTCCCAGATTATGTTAAATTGGCCGAACGTTTAGGAATTAGGAAATTTAGTAATAATGATTTCCTAATTCATTCATTCTTTTTCTTTGTTGTTATGGATGTATGTATTGTGGGAATTGATGGAGATTGGCTGCCTCTGAAGTGCTATGCTAATAATGTTTTTCTCCCCCTCAGCTTACAAAGAGATTACAAGGTCATCCTAATAGGTAAGATGTTTAGATGACTTAAATTACTTTGATTTTATAAATATTTTAAATGTGGTTATGTAAAAACAGCAGTGTATGGCAGCATGATGTTATATAGTAGGTAGCCCAAATTCTAACTAATAAAACTCTTTTTAAAGGTGTCAGATACTGCTCTCCACGCTTGTTTTTAATTGAATGGTTATTATTTCTAAGTGTTTTTTGCTTTCTTTTAGAGAACTCTAGACTTCTGAGCTTTATTATCAGGTCATTTAATGGGTTAGTCTTATTAATGATTTAGTCCTAATCATGATGTGTAAAATGGCTATTTGTAGAACTTGATCCAATCTCCAGTAGTTGCTAAGACACTAAGGAAATATTTTATATGACTAAATTTTGTGGGTCTTTTTTGTTAACTTTATGATTAAATATTTAAATAGGGTATATATCTCAAAGATCTAAGCTTGTACTGCAGTATTATCAATGTCTATAATATAGTTTTGTTTTGTTTTGTTTTGTTTTTTTCTAAGTTTTTTCCCCCCTGATATGCTCCATTACCCTTTGGAGCTCACAATGGAAAGCTTAAAGAATTCACTAATTATGCCTGACATGCACATTTTTGGTCTATACTTCTCTCTTTTTTTTTTTTTTTATACTTCTCTTTTAATGTTGGTGTGGAAACCTTTTGCTATTTGGACCTGACAGTGAGTAGTTGGTGGGCTCAAATATCATGAGCATAAAAAATGCAAAGCTCAGTTTACTGCCTTGATTATAGCCAGTTACAAAGTAAAGCATGGGTTTTGTATCTGGAGTTGAATTATTTTAGAGGAAGGAATTTTTGTCCTATTTTCTAGTCCATCCTATCCCCCCCCCCCCAAGAGATTTGTATATTACACAGACCTCAGCTAGACCCAGTGAAAGAATGAGAGGACTGACATGGTCACAGTTGTTTATTTATTAGAGTCATTTTCTGGTCTTTTGTTTGCCTATATGGATTTTTCTAACTTCAACTCCATTCAAATTTTAAATTTTAACTCCATTTAATTTTGAATTTGCATATTAGTTTATTTGTATTTTTTTCTTTTTTTTTTCAGTGCTGTTTTAATGGTTCAGTGGCTAAAATGTGTGTTAACGGTCCACGCATCCTACTTATCCACAGTGAGTCTCTTCAGCTGTAGTTGCTGAATAGTTTGGCTTTGATAAGGATTAAAAACTGATGGCTTAACAAAAGAATTTTCTCTCCACCTGTCCTTCAACCATCAGCTGCTGCTGTTGAAGATTTTGTTTTTCCCAGGTGTAATTTCATATTGTCATCATTGCTGCCTTTTATAAACTGGTCTGTTTTGGGCCCATATTTTAAAAGTAATATGTATTCGATAGAGAAACTTGAAAAATACAGAAAGGAGAAAAGTTACATATTAGCCTTTAGATGCTTTTCTATATACATAACCTGTTTAGCAAACTTTTCTTTACATTGTGTGTGTATCTATCATCTTCTAAAAACTTAGTAGCTTTTAAAAGTTTGTATCTGTGCTAACATGTCTGTCTTACCTTGTCTCAGGAGGATAAACGGTAGCGTGTGATAAAAATGAAATAAATTAAGTATTTAATACTTGACATTTTGCTGGGACTACTGTCAGCTCTTGATTGATTATCTATGCAGATGGAACATAAAATCTTAAAAGAATACCAGAAAAAAAGTTTTATATGTCACAATATGGGTTGGAAAATTACCACATCATTAATTCCGCTGTAGTTTAAGCTAGAATAAAATTCACAATTTTTTTTTCTTTTATTTGATTATCTAGCACCTTACAGTAGATTTTCTTCAAAGATTTTAGTGGATAGTTGAAAATTTTTCATTTACTTTTAAAATTACTAGCTCTGCTTTTCTTAACACAGTTTCACCCAGTTCTTGCCTGGGCACTGTCCCTTGTTCTCTGTGTCAGGCTCTTGTTTCTTCAGTAGTTTGAAACAGGGAAAACTATTAACGGGTTATTTAATAGTTCGGCAGTTCATTCTTTGCATGTCGTGGAGATCTCTGTCAGAAGGTTAGACTGGCGGAAGAGACAAGGAGCACTAAGAATGGATGTTGGGTTTCTCAGCTTACAGAAATCTTGGAAGATCAATTGGGGGTTTGGGCTGAGAGGCATGGTGATGGGCACAGACACACCACCACCAGCGTCAGATCCTGGAACTCTGACTGATAACAGGACGACGCTCACTTTGTGGCCCCATTGACTAGGATTTGTAGTGAAATCCCTTCTGGAATCAACCCCTGAGGTACAACTGTTGGAGCAGTAGCTGTGTGACATTCTAGGTCAGGGCAGAATAGACCGTGGAAGTACAGCAGAGGGTGGACAGTTTTTGCTCCTCAGAAAACAAGTGCTTTTCCTCCCCCTTTCCTTCGTTTCTTCCTTCCTTATCAGAAATCTTTAAGTACCTTCTCTAAGTCAAGGACTGTGCTAGGCATGGGGGCTTTAGTCATGTACAGGAGACTCTCATTTGTACTGTTCCTGCTTTAATTTCTGAAATATGGCTCAGGGTTTCTTAACAGGAAATATGTTTGAAGTATGATGAGGTCAGCTTTGATTGCTGTCATTCTGTCTCTGGAAGCTATGAAAAGCTTCCTCTGGCTTGCTGGGACCTAATGGTAGAGGTAATAATGCAGTATCATCAGAGTACGTTTCCGAGTGAAGCCCCCTTTAGTCCAGAAGTATGTGATTGGGGTACCTTCTATTTAGTGTCTCCTTTATAATGACCGTCTCTAAAGTAATATGATCAACACAAAGACATCCTACCCTATGGTTTGTCCGTCCTGACTTGCATTTCCTCCTTCTGACCATGTATCATTTTTTTTTAATGTATAATTTTTTGCTGTTAGGACATTGAAGACCTGAAAATTTGAGGTGTTGCTGGGCTATGTGACAGGCAGCCACTGGCGCTGGAAGTGGAGGCAGATGCTTGTGGTGCAGGGCTGGATACTCAGGCAGTCTCATCATGATTTGTATATTTGTTATCTGTAATTTGTACTAGTATCAGAGTAATTTTTTTTTATGGTTGTTCCCTAGTTGCCTGACCTGGTACCCCAGCTGGGGACACTATACCAGTTAATGGAAAGCAGAGTAAAAACTTTTCAGAAACTCTCCCACCTTCATGGAAAGCTCATCCTTCTAATTACGCAGGTGAGTAAATCATAATGTTTTGTGCTAAATTTTGAATGTGATCGGAATGGAGAGAGGAATGGCATTGTTTACCTGAATGTTGAAAGCTCCCTGTTTCAGTAAAAAAATTGGCAAATCAGGATCCAGTCTGTAACTGGGAAATGTTATTTATTTGATAGTAAGTAGACTTGGTTGTACCTGTTTCAGCTTTTCTCACATGTTCTCACCATCATATTTCCGTTGTTAATACAGTTAGGATGGTTGTGGAACTGTGAGCAAGTCACAGGGTATTTCTGCAGTTTTTTGTCACAGAAAGAATTTCGATTACCTAAAAAGTTTTTTCAACTTTTACAGAATAATTCTTTCTTTCTTCTGTTTGACAGATTTGCCTTTTACCCTGTACTTGATCTACATCGTATTGAGGTCATCCATCATAGTGGATGAGGGCGAGTTTACTGTTGCGGAAGGACTAGGGAGGGTATATATAGCTCAAGCGGTAGAGCACATGCTTAGCATACATGTGCTCTAAGAGTAAACAAATAAATCTAATTACCTCCCCCTGCCAGTAAAAAGAAAAGATATTCCAAGCAAATTATTTAAAAAAATAAATAAATACACTCTACTTCATGATAGCACCTGGTTGTCTTTCAGGTTACAGCATCAGAAAAAGCAAAGGGAACGACTTGTCCTGCACAGAAGGCAAAGTTGGTGTATGAAGAAGGTAAAGCTTGGGGGATAGGCTAAACATTTAGTTTTTGACATTGACTCAGTTCTGTGACTTTGTAAAAACATGACTCAGTTCTATGACTTTTGTAAACATCGCTGTAAGGTCTTGCTTTGACATACCTTCTCTGATGAAATGGGCAAGCCTGTAGCAAAACTGGCAAAGATACAATCAAATAAAAGAGAAGGCACAAGTATAATACAGTAACAAAAAAAGGACATAAGCTATGGAAGAGATTTAAATAGAACATTATGAACGAACTTTGTCAATACATTAAACTCTTAGATGATGTAGGTAATTTCTTGGGACACATCAATGACCAAAGTTAACTTAAAAAGAAATAGAAACCCCGAACAAGCTAATCGCTCTAAATTGATTTAATCAAAAATCTTTCTCCACAGGGTGCCAGACAGAGGTTTTGTAAGTGACTTTTATCAATCTTTTGAGGAACATGTTATTTTTGTCATCTACAAATAATTTAGGCATTTTGTGAGTCAAGACCAGACAAGGATAGTCAAGAACATTTTAGGCCATCCTCAAATATCCTAGGTAGCAGATTGATTACGGAAAGTGCTTAAGTAAAATAATATGTCATTACCAAGTAGAATTTTTTTAAAGATTGTGATATGATTTGGCATCAAGAACTCTTAATGTAGTTATCACATTAATAGATCGCTATGAACACTATGTATTATTTTAATAGATATAGAAAAATAAAAAAATACAGTCTTCATGTATCTCATTATTTGATAATCTGAGCAATCCAGGAATTTAAGGGAATTTCCTTAAACCTGTATCAAACATGAAGTTTAGAAGCATTCCCATAAAGTCAGGAATAAGACTTTTATTGCTTTGGGATATTCTGCCTTGTACTGTATGAAAGAAATGAATTCTAGAACATTAGGCACTGCTTGTAATTATTCCTCTCCACATAGAAAATACAGCAGAATCTACAGTCACACCATTGTTGATATGTGGATAAGCAAGTTTACTGGATACCAAGATCTAGCAAAAGGGATTCAGTAGCATTATTATGTCCCATTAATGTATTATATGTTCACAATGTCCCAGTCAGAAAATGTATTAGTAAAGATCTCATTCATGCAGCAACCAAAACTATGAAGTACCTAGAAATACCTCTAAAAAATGAAACAAAACTTTTATAAAGAAAACATAAAACAACTGAAGAACAAAAAAGCATACCTGAATTAATTAATTATACTTTATGTGAAGTTTTTTTCCTGGTTTTATTGAGTTATAATTGACATATAACATTGTATTCGTTTTAGGGGTACAATATAATGATTCTGTGTGTATATATTGTGAAATGATTGTCACATTGTTTAGTTAACATTCATCACCACACATAGTTATAAATTTCTTTTCTTGTGATGAGAACTTAAAAGATTTACTCTCTCAGCAACTCTCAAGTATGCAATACAGTATTGCTGACTGTGGTCACCATGGTGTGTATTACATCCCCAGGACTTCTCTTAAAATTAGAAGTTTGTTTCTTTTGACCTTCACCCATTTCCTCCACTCCTGTCTGCCTCTTCCAGCTACTATCAATCTGTTCTCTGTATCTGTGAGTCAGGTTTTTATAGATTCTACATATAAGTGAAATAGTGTAGTATTTATCTTTTTCTATCTGACTTGTTTCACATAGCACAGGGCCCTCAAGTTCCATCCATGTTGCAAATGGCAAGATTTCCTGTTATTTCATGGCAGCATAATAATCCATTTTATTTGTGTGTGCGTGACATTTTCTTTATTCACTGATCTGTTAATGGGCACTTGGGTTATTTCCGTATCTTGGCTGTGGTAAATAATGCTGCAGTGAACACTGTGTTTCCGGTGCATCTGAGATCCTGATTTCATTTCCTTTGATACATGCTTAGAAGTGGAATTGGTGAATCATATGGTAGTTCCATTTTTCATTTCTTGAGGAGCCTCCATACTGTTTTCCATAGTGGCTGAACCAGTTTACATTCCCATCACCAGTGCACAGGGATTCTTTTTCTCCACATCCTGGGCTTAGTTTTTTTCAGATGGGATTTTTGTTAGGGCTTTGATACTTTGTCTTGTTCAATAAGATATTGATGGGATAATAACGTGTTTTAATGCAGGTAAAATACTAACTTAATGTTCCTTCTTAGATGGATGATAGCTGAATGTATTTCTAAAAGTAAATTCAGGAGTCTGATTCTGTTTAGCTTTCAGAGCTATGCTCTCTGCTTTGATCACAAAATTTAAGCTGGAATCCCCCCCCCCTTTACAGAATCTTCTGAAGAGGAGTCTGATGATGAAATAGCAGATAAGGATTCTGATGTGAGTAATTTGTTTCCTGGTACATGAATCTACCTTAGTATCCTTGTACTTTGTAAGACCTGGGCCTTCATGCGTGCTTTCCTTGCTTAATATTTCTACCAGGATAATTGGGATGAAGATGAGGAAGAGAAAGAAAGTGAAAAAGGTGAGGATGTTGATGAAGAGAATGAAGAGGAAGATGAGGATACTGAAGAAAAAGATGAAGAAAATGGTGAGGATGGAGATGTGGCAAGTGAAAAGGAATTAAATGGAGACTCTGATTTAGATCCCGAAAATGAAAGTGAAGAAGAATGAAGACAGAAGAAAAAGCCAATTGAACTATTTAAACTGGCTCACCTTACCCACTGCTGCCGAGTTCTCCTGGAGAGGGTTGTCTCTGTGACAGGTGCCAAGGACCGCTGCGCATTTCCAAATTCCTAATGGTGGCTCCCATGCCACCTTGCTGTCCTGAGCACCCCAGACCTAACTGTGTAAATAAGAGAGTTTCATTCAAATGTTAATAAACTTTACACAGTAAATAGACACATTTTCTGCAATGTACTGACATGAGTGTCCAATATATGGTATATTTTTATAATATCCTAGTATGATTGGTTATGGCCAAGAATTTTTGATGTAAGTGAAGGTAAAGACATTTCCCTTGTTAGGGGTTCAAGAACTGGACTTTGTGAAGGAGTCAGCTCTTATCTCAGGTTGGTATCTTTCATCACATCCTGATGTGAAGCAGCATGAGTGAAAAAATTTTTAATTTGGTACATTTTCATAAAATATGAAGGGATGACTAAAAACTGGAGTAAAAATGATTGTGATAAAAAAATAAAATCACTGGTATCCCTGGCTTCTCTGACTGTGGTAATCTGATTTGAGTCAGATTGAATATTTGGAGTGCTTCCCCAAAACAACCACTTATTTTTTAAGCTGTCATGTGAAATATTTTTTTAAAACACAAACAATTATGGTAATTAAAAAAACTAAATAATTAGCCATATTAAGGATTTTTCTTGACTGCAAGTTGCCTGTAAAGAATCATCAGTGTATAGATTTAGAAGTGCTCATTACCTGCAACTTTTTAAAAGATTCAGTTATAGCTGCTTTTGAAGAGGTTTTCATTTTTATTTAAATTACTAATGGATCAAAGAACAATTGTTTATTTTTTTTCTCTTTGGTTTTAGATATTAATGATAACCCTATTGGAATTTTTTTCCAAAGAAAATATTTTTATAATTCAGTAATTTAATGTGTTCTTTCCTTTTCATTACCTACTCTTGGCAGTGTTTAGGGTATGTTTACCTTTAAAATAAATCCAACTCAAGATTTTTTATGTGTGTATAAATAAGTATTTTGGTGTGCTACAAAAGCCTTTTCCAATTATCAGTGGGTTTTTTTTTTTTTTTTTAAGAATAAGTCAGTATTTGTTTAGTGCTCTCTAGGGAACATGCAGATGGAAGCTCAGCTCTAAGAAAGGGCTGGGGAGACTGGTTTATTTTTCCCACCTGTTAATATGTAAAACAAAAAACATTATCTCTGAGGGATTTTTAACATCAGTAGCAGACAAGATTTCCACACTCAACTAAGAGCTGGAGCCATATAAGCATCTTGGGAAAGTTAGGCCAGCTACTGGTGTAATGTACAGTTATATTTGTCTATAAATGGGGCTGTTTATGGCAATTTAATACCATTCTCTTTGTAAAGTGAATAAATACTCATCTTTACCCTGTGCTTGTCTTGTGGTATATGTAGAGAAACACAGCCACACATTTGGGCTCGTGGTGTGAAGGTTTTAAAAAAGTAATCTTACTTGACTAGCATTAATCGGTAAATGCTTTCAGGGCTTGTTGGATAATCTAGAATTTGTAGCAAAGTGAAGGAGCCGAGAACTTTGTTAGAGCCTAGTGGTGGTTTCTTGGTGCAGTCCCACCTGGCTGGGCCGTGCCGCCACAGCGCAGGGCTGCAGGGACAGTCATCAAGGTGCACAGGCTCATGCCTCAGACCCTGGTCTGGGGTCTGAGATTTTCCCTGCATCCGACTCTACCTCTTCAGTGTAGTAATTGCTTACTAGTTATTTTTAAGACAAATCCAGAGTTAAATTAAAATTAGGCTTGTTAAAAAGAATATTTTCTAGTTTCAGGATATTCCACTCCTAATCCAGACAACAGAGTTTTGGATGTATGTTGTTGTCTTTTTTTGGAGATTAATTTTTCCTCCCAGCTATTTTATTTTGAAAAATTAACCCTCCTTCCATGATCAAGTCAAGGATCACATATTATATTTGGTTGTCATTGCTTTATTAATCCAGAATATTTCCTTCCCCCATGTGTGTTCCATGATTTTGATATTTAAATAGGTCCACATAGTATGAATTAAACTGTATTGCAGACTGTTCTACAGTACAGGTTTGTTTCCTTATGATTAGATCTCTGATTTAAATGTTTTTGACAAGAGTACTAAATAAGTGGTGGTATTTGAGGTTAATTTGTAAAAATGAATTCTTTGGGGTAAGTGTATTAGTATGTTTTGATGTAAGCAGATGTCAAGGCTTTAGGTTTGGGACTTGTAACCTTAGTGCAGAGGGATGTTTGAGGGTCAGAAATGGGATCCAAGTAGTGAGATCATTGGGTACATTGATGCTGTCTGTTTAAGGTTATTATAATTTTTGTGGAAGTTAATTCTCAACATTGTACATTCATTTAGCAAATATGTATTGATTGCCTACTCTCTTCCAGGGATTATTTAGTTGCTTGGTACATCACTGAATAACAGTGAATGACAGTGAATAACTGAATAATAAGGAGCTGACATTCTACTAGAGAGAAGTAGGCAGTAATCAATGTATAATGAGTAAGTAAATTCTGTGTAGTATGTTAAAAGATCGTGACTGTTATTGGGGGGGACAATAAAGCAGTTGGGAGTTGGGATGGGAGAATGCAGTTGCAGAATTAAATGTATGATCAGGGCAGGGTTTGTTGAGAAGATGAGATTTGAACAAAGACTAGGAGGAAGTGAGGAAGTTAGCTAAGAGGGTATCTGCGGAAGAATGTTCTAGGCAGAGGAAAGGGCATGAACAAAGGCCAGCACAAGTCTGGTATGTTGAAACCTGGAGAGGAAACCAGTGTGACTGGAATGGAGGGAGAAAGAGAGAGTGTATGTGAGAGGTGATAGAGACTTAGACCAGGGTGGTAGTAATGGAGTTGGTGAGAACTGGTTGGTTTCTGGGATTGTTTTGAATTTAGAGCTAATGGGATTTCTATGAGGTGTGAGAAAAGGGGAGGAAGAAGTCAAGTATGACTTGGCTAGAGCACCAGGATGATGCTGTGGGTGGAGCAGCTTTGAGACGGGAGTCAGGAATTGCACTTGGGACCTGTTAGGTTATAGATATCCATTAGGAATGCAAATCCATCCCCAGTTGATTTGGGGGGCAAGTTTGGGGTGGAGGTAGAGCCCTGTAAGCGTTATTAAGCCACAGGACTGGGTGAGCTTCTCAAGGGAGTAAATTGTGCATAGGAGGATCACCCAGGTCTGGCTCCAGCATCAGAGTCAGAGATGAGAAATGCCAGGGGTCACAGCGGGTTGAGGTGAGGCAGGAGGAATTGGCGTTTACTTACTGTTCCATTCTCTTTGAATTCATGACATCCCTCAGCTGTGGTTTCTTTCTGCTGTAATTGATAATACTGGTGGATCCTCCCAGGCCATGGTGGTTTTTATGATGCCCTTTATATGACTGACCCTTCCTTTGAAGGCAACTCGGGCGTAAAATTTGTTTTGCTTTTAATCTAGTGTCACCTTTGTGGCACCTCAGCACTGTGCCTCGTGCTGACTCATCCTGTGTCTGAATTGTACACTGGATCACAAAGCCAGCAGAGTGCACGGCCACAGCCGTGTAAGTGGACTAGCAGGCATTGTCCACACCGGAGCACCGTGTGGAGGAGAACACAGAATGGGTGGTGCTCTCCTGTTCAGTGCTGGCTGCGTGGTCTGAGAAAACAACGTTGACACTCATCAGCACTGTCATGGGTGCTCATGTATTGGTGTGCGTAGCTTTTTAATATGAAAATAGTTCTGAGAGAAAGAAGGTGGTTATAAATTGCACTTTAGGGGTGAGGGATGTCAAAAGAAAAAACCCAAAAGTTGAAAATCACCTTAAGAAATTGCTGGGCCTATTCTTCCTAGGTAATAATGGCTTAAAAGGTGAGGAAATACCATAATTTTTGGATGCTAAAGGTTTTGTTTTGTTTTTTTAAGTATTTCCTAATGGAAATAAATATGTAGGAAAACATTTTGTTACAGGGTTTCCTTTGACCTGGTTGTAGTTTAATTTGTTTGATTGAAACAGGGGCAGAGGTGTGGGTGGCCTGGCAGGACAGTTGCTGAAGTCAAAGCCAACTTGGCAGCAGCCTCAGCTGGCCCTGTGTGGGTGGTCATGATGGCCCAAAACTGGGCCACAGCTTCACAGGTTCAGACACTTAATTTTGTCCTTGTCCCTAGACTAGGGTAACTTGATGGTCAGAACATTGACCAGGCTTCCAAGAGAAATTGGAATTATTAAATGGCACATTTATTGGTAGTGAGCAAGACACATCTCCAGTGGAGCGGTGTTCTTATTGGGGGGTGAAAAGTCTTTTTTTTGGATAAGAAAGTCACACAGTATACACCAGTTTTATAACGGGAAGATTGATTTGACCCAGAGTGTGGAATCGGAATGTGAGAGAAGTGAATGGGGATGGTCTTCATAGCTAAGTGCAGTGGACAGTGCGTAGTCTGTACGGGAGGGGTTGGAATTCTTGGCTTCCCTGCACGCTGGTTGAATCTTCTCACTTCAGACTGATCCTTCTCCTTTGAACAGGACAGTCACTGTGGATGGAATGTCGGTGTTTGGGTCTTCACAGGCATCTACCTACGACTGCTGGTTAGGGTGCATTCTCATGATTCAGGAACCATGAGTCCCACCAAATATGGTTACATGTAAGGAACAAATTTCTTGTTTCAGCCAAACTTTGACTTTGTTAATCATCCTCAACCTGGCAACCCCACCACCCCTCCTTTTTTAAATTGTGGTAAAATATACTAGTTTAACCATTTTTAAGTGTGCAGTTCTGTAGCATGAAGTACATTTATGTGGTTGTTCAACTCTTCTTTATCATGATCTAGATGCTTAATTTTTCTTAAATTGAAGTACAGTAAATTACAATGTGTAGGTTTCTGGTGTACAACATAGTGTCCCAGTCATGCGTATATATACATATATTCGATTTAATTTTTTTTATTAAAGGTTATTACAAGATACTGAACATAGTTCCCTGTGCTATAAAGAAGAAACTTTTTTTAAAATCTATTTTTATATATAGTGGCTAATATTTATAAGTCTCAAACTCCCAAATTCATCCCTTCCCACCCCTTTCCCTGGTAACCATAAGATTGTTTACTATGTCTGCAAGTCTATTTCTATTTTGTAAGTGAGTTCAGTCATTTTTTTTTTTAAGATTCCATATATGAGTGATATATGGTATTTTTCTTTCTCTTTGGCTTCACTTAGAATAACGATATCTAGGTCCATCCATGTTGCTGCAAATGGCATTCCTTTTATGGCTGAGTAGTACTCTATTGTATAAATATATCACAACTTCCTTATCCAGTCATCTGTCAGTGGACATTTAGGTTGCTTCCATGTCTTAGCTGTTGTATATAGTGCTGCTATTAACATTAGGGTGTAGGTATCTTTTTGAGTTAGAGTTCCCTCCAAATATACGCCCAGGAATGGGATTGCTGG